AGCCGGAGCCTGCAGCAGCCAGGAGGGGCAGAGGCAGCCACTGCGGGGCAGGCTGAGGGGCTGTCTCCAGGATGCCCCACAGGCTAACCACACAGGCTGTTGGGGAGCAGTTACCCCCATGCCCATCAACAGCAGGGGCCCTGGACACTGAGCAGGAGAACAACACCCCTGGGTGTCTGAGAGCCCCAGCTTCAGAGCAGTCTGCCCCCAGAATCCACTCCATGTGTGGCACAGGCAGCCTGCCCCGCCCTACGCAAAGGCTGAGCTGCGGGGGGAGCAGCTGGGCCTTAGAGGCTGACTCCATCGTGAGAGCTGCCCGGACTGCAGGAGCTGGAGGGCGGCTCCGGCTTTGCAGGCCCTGGTGGCTTCTCAAGGGGAAGCAGCTTGCCCCAGACGTCCCCTCCCCCACACCATAAGAAACATTGGCGTCCAATCACCGTGACTCATGGTGCCCCGCGTGCATTACAGCAGAGCTGTGCTCTGTAGGGTTTTCAATGCCTGACTTTTCAGATACAAGTTGCCAGGCCTGGCTTCCAAGGCGCCTCAAACCACCAACCTTTCAGTTAGCCAAGCGCGTTCACCGCGTGCATCCCTCCAGACAGCCCTGCCAGCTCCAGGGCTCCACCCACCCTGTGCCTCCCAACACTCTGATGGGGGGGTGCGATGCAGCCTCCTACAGCCACAGCATCCTGGGCTCAAATCCCCTGCTACTCATGTTGTGTGGCTTAGGGTAAGTGCCCCAACCTCTCTGAGGTCCATTTCTTTCTCTGTGGCTGGATAATGGGCCATAGTTGTGCTGGGGAGACAGTTACAAAGCCCTGCGTTCAATCCCAAAGGTGAGAGCAGAATGTGGGGGTAGCCCAGGAGGGGGAGCCCCTGCTTCCTGAGGGCCTGGCAAGACACAGACAGTGAGTTGGTTCCACTTGAACCACATCCGCCCTGTCATCAGCTGCCGGCGAGTTGACCTCCACTCACAGCGACCCCACGCACCACAGAATGAGGCGCTGGTAGGTTGCTCTGGGTCCCACACCGTCCCCAGAATGGGTTGTGGATGGGACCACCAGGACCCGTGGGGTTTCACTGGCTGGCTTTCAGAAGGGGGTCGCTGGGCACTTCCTCCTGGCCCCTCCCTCCTGGCCCCTCTGCGCCTGGAAGCTCCCCTGTAACCCATTCAGTGTCCTAGACACACTGCTTCCATGGGCAGATGGGCGGGGGCTGTGCAGGAGACACACTGGCCGGGACTCGAACCGGGGCCCCCCACAGAAGGTGGGAATTCACCCACTGAACCCCCACCGTCCCTGGAGCACAGTGAGACAGGGTGAAGCCATTTACGTCAATCTTCGTTTTGGGGAAGAGCTGCTGTTTCTGTATACGTTAAGAAAGGTGTGGGTGTTTGCACGCCAAGCTGAGCTGGGGTCAGAGATGGTGGCCAAAGCGGAATCTAACCACCTCTTCATATTGCACAAGCAGCGCTGGTGGTGGTGCAGCGGTTAAGGCAGTTGGCTGCAAACCAAAAGGTCAGTGGTTCAAACCCACCAGCTTCTCCTTAGAATAAAGATAGGTAAGTAGGCTTTCGTAAAGATCGACAGCCTTGGAAACCCGGTGGGGGTCACTGTGCATTGGAATCAATTTGGCGGCAGTGGGTTTGGTTTGGTTTGGTTAGGCTGTAAGATTTACCAGGAAAAGGGGTGAGTCAGAGTGAGCAGGGGCTGGGAATCCATGGGGCTGCCGGCGATGGGCGGAGACCGAGAAATGAGGACACCAGGACGCCGTGGGCCTGAGACGCTGGATCTCCAGCCCTCCCCCGCCCTCCCGGCCCCGGACGAACTGCCAGCCTGCCACAGCATCTCGAGGCAGCCCGCTGACCCCAGGCCGCATCCCACCCTTTGAGCTTCCCGGCCACGGGCAGCCCAGGCTTCGGAGCAAGGTACGGGGACTGC